ATCTCTTTGTTCTTTTTCGTTTGTTCTCTCTCTCTTTCTCTCTCTCTCTCTCTCTCTTTGGTATATGCATATATTATATACGAATAACAATTAACGAAGCTAAGTTTCATAAGGTAAAGAGAAGATGAAGAACGCGATTTCTTGAGCGACAATGCAAACTTTTGATCTCTGACACGCACGCGCGCACACACGTTGCTATTACGTAATAGTACGTATCTAGCGCACGCGCGCGCGTGAAAACATACAGTATAGGTAAAAAGTAACGTAAATTAGCGAAAGCAATGCGACGAGTCATGCTCGTTTGTTTCTTGCATACAGCATCTGTTTAGTACGCCACTTTTCTTCGTTCTTGCCAATTTTCCTCGAAGACGAACGAAAAGGGGGCGGACAAACGCGTCGTTGTATTCCCATTTGGGACACCGCGTATGTCGAGCGTTTTACGATGATCCGACGCGTAAAAAGTGCACGCACGTTACGTGAACATTACACACAAAACACGTATACAATCTTATACATACACATATAACACACACGTACATATATATACGCAGAGTCGTCATGAACGTTGTTGTCGGAAAACCCCTGGACAACCACCGAACATAAAGCGTATAGTAATTGTAACGCGTTCTCGCCACGAGTCACGAAAACGCGAAAACTGACTTTTTAAAGAATTGCTCTGACATGATTAATAAGAAACGAAATAAACGCTGCTTAAGACAGTTTATCGGTTGTTGTAACTTTATTTTTTATTTTATCTCGCGTGCTGCTCGTTCGAGTTTCAACTTTATTGTTCCCGACTGCTGTGAAGAAGAAGCTACGTGTTCTCGACAACAGAGTACACTCTGTCTATCTTCTCTGTTATTGTAGGTTATATTTTGCCAGAAGTGTATCGATCTTTCTCTCTCTGTCTCTCTCTTTCCCACGTTTATTCGTGGGTAGTAGAAAGAAAGATCTACGGGGAAAATGAATTGGTCGAGTTTTACGAACCGTTCTGCAGTGGTGCTGCTGAATGAATAAAAAAAGAACAGAGGACCGAGGAAACAAGACAGACAACGGCCGAAGGTTCCATGACATCTGGAGAGGTAAAACGCGGAGGCCGGGCTTCCTGCCAAAGCATTAAATCTTCGTGGTACGTCATTGACGGAAATTTCCGTCTAAAAATCGGTACGAGCCAGCCAACACGGGATCACGGAACTCGAAGGTTATCGTTGAACCCGCGTCTCTTTGCTAAACTTGGCTTTCGCATAAGTGGAGAGAGAGAGAGAGAGAGAGAGAGAGGGGGGGGGCTATATTTCGCGTACATTGAACAAAAAAAAAAGAGGAAAAAATAAGAACACATAGAACAATCGGTTGTCAACGATATAAAAGCTAGACGAACTCTTGTTTGGCTTTCGGATTATGCATTCGAACGTTCCTCTCGTAGCTGAATGGAAGAGCACGAATCAACGAATAGGCACTCGACTTCGAATAGCATCGATGACTCCCGACACTCGAATCCCCATCTCCTTCCGCTTCCTTGCCATTCCTGTGCCTGTGAAGATAGGCTTCTATCGAGCTGGCTTCTCTCCCGCCCCTTCAAGTGCAAACCACTGGATGATAATTATCGTGCCTGACGGGGAATACCCGGTGTCTATCCAAACGTAAACACGAACAATCGAATCCGGTAACAGGTACGTTTGTCGCGCTATTAAATCGGTCAATTAGGGTCAGTGTTTCGAATCCTAACCACGTTTCGTTCGTTTACCGCAAATAATAATAATAATACTTTATCACGCCAAACCATGAATGTGTAAATTTGTGAGAAAATTTGAAAAATTTTAATGTGTAAAATTATCTGATTCCATTTTACATTCAATTGCGGATTTCCATAATTTATCGAATCGTACATTTCTGGTATTAACATAAAGGGAGACAAATGTTTAATACATAATATAGGTGAAGAGGTCAAATGAGTCGTTTGAAATGGGATATGGTTGAAAATAGGATAGGATAATTTTTCAGGTCTTTTCAACTGGAAGGAAGGATTTGAAGATCGCAATAAAAGTACCAGATAACTGATTAATTCCTTTGTGTCTCGTCATCAAACTGTATGGTAATCCAACGACAACCTATCGGATTACGAACGATCCGATTTTTCCGGGCAGATTCTAGGGTTAATTAATCAGAATATCGTCTCTTGTTACCTCTCGTCGTTCCCCGTTTCTCATAAGCGAGTTTAATCATTAATAGTCAACCACGGGTCGACATCGATTTTCGAGCGCGTCTAAATATGTCACATTTGCAAAGAGTTTATTTTTATCCCGTTGAGCGTGTTTCGATTTGAGGCAACGTGAGGAAGAGAGAGAGAGAAAAGAGAATTAGGATCCGTTTGCATCCGCATTGTCTGGCGAAATGAATTCGTAGAGTGTAAGAAATGTGGAGAATCTGGAATAGATCGGATTGCAATTATCTGACATTGACTGCTTTTCCGGGTCGCATTTATTTTTAATCCACCGGTGTACGGTTTACGAGAGAGTGACGTCAAGCAGACTAGGCGTAGATGATTCGTTCCCGTACACTTCGGCAAATCGCCAGTGTGCCGGTGATCGATTGATCACCCTCTCGCTCTGATCCGATCCGACGTAATAATATTTTTCCTTCTATTCGTAGCGGCTGCTTGGAAATTTCTGCACCGACCCTGTTCGACTCCCCACGTTCGACCAATATTCGTCGTTTTTACTACTCGCGTCGAAAGATTTTTCAATTTCATTGTTTACATAATTGAACACTTGGCGCGTTTCATATGGCGAGAAATGTATAAATTACGACGAACAATTTTCGAAGTAGTCGTTCCTTTTTTTGAAGCATTATTACATATTTGATAAAGTAACATTTGCAGAAATTCTTTCATACTGATACTCAGGCAGCGGATGTTTATGCAATTATAAGATTAAAATATACAAAATACGTGAGAGTAACGTTACAATGTTACTGACTGTACTATAAGTACATTTATCTTTGAATTAGTGTTGTTGTTTACGTATCTCAAGAGATTCTAACCTTACTTTCATGTATTTCGCGTATTTGCATATGTTACAATTGCATAAAAAGACGCAGTCTAGTGATATTTAAAGTTTGCATTGTTAAGAAACAAAGAGTAAACGTTTTTAAGGACAACCCATGGATCACCAGTAACCCACACGACACGTACTAACAATGTTCTCTGATTATTCACTGTTTTACGACTCGCTATGATTTCTGAATAATTAATACGAATATAAAAACGTATTGTTCAAATCAATGGAGTATGGCAAGTATATACAAATATATGATAATTTTGCTATCCCTGAATCCTTCGTAAAATTATTCGAACACTGATCCCGCGAAATATTTCGCTGCTCGTCGGAGGATAAACCGGTCTTTAAGAGTCGAAAGAGAAGATCGAACCTGTGTCACTGTTCCTGTCTCGATACCGACCACTTATTTTCGGTCCATCCAAATTCAATGGCAAAAGATACTGGCCAGTCGCCAACAGTGCTCCTGTAGCACGTTATCTTTTTACAGGCTCCTTGCGAATCACGTACGAGGCACAGGATTGTGTTGCACCTTTCAGGGCATTGCTCGAAGTATGAAACACGTATTAGAAGTAAGCATTCGATTGTCTACACAAATCAATTGGGATTTTTTATTGTTTGGAGTATTCTTCGTCATTAAAACTATTTTCTGCATCACACTTTTATATTTTTGATAGTTTTTTATTTTCATTTGTTCTCCAAATATTGTGTAAAGAGAGTTCTTAAAACTTTAAACTTTATGATTATTGCAAT